TGAACACACCCGACCATCACGCAGAGCAGCAAGACAGAGCAGAACCCCGGCCCTCCCCGCCTCCACCTACCGCGGGGCCTGGCCCACTGCACGCGTGCTCGTTCAAAGGCAGGACCACAAGCAACTTAAGGGGTCACCTGTGAACGGGGTGCTCTGCGTCCGCACGGGCTGGTGACCGCGACCGCTGGGGGCAGACTCGTCTCTGGCCCCAAAGGGGGAAGGCGCAGGCTCTGCGGTCGGGGTGTCGGCTATGAAGGAGTCGAAGTCGTCGTCGTCCTCCTCCTCCTCCTCCCTCCCTCCTGGGCTGCCCTCCTCCTTTGAGAGAGGCGTGGGACCCGGGTCGGCGAAGCCCTGCTCTGCCAAGCCCCCGGTGCCAGAGTCCAGCTCCTTCATGATCTGGTCATACTGGGCGATGAGATCTTCGCTCTCCAGGGTCGGATCGGCCACATGTGAGCCGGGCTCTGCCTCGGGGCCGGGGGGCACCGGCTTGGAGTCCGACTCTGGGGCTGCCTCGGGCTGGCTCTCCTGCTTCGGCTTCTTGGCCGTGTTTGGAAGCAGGTCTGGACTGTCCCTGCTCGGGTCCTCCTCGGAGTCTGTCTCTGGAGGGGGGCTGGGGAGCGGGCCGTTGTTCACGGGGGAAGCCTGGCCCTCGGTCTGGGCCTCCGCGGGCGGCCCCGCCGTGTCCCCCGGTGACCTCCCCGCGTCCTCGGCGTCCTTCTCGGCACACAGCCTGTACACCATCACGTCGTCCTGGAAGTCCGACTCTTCGATGTAGGACCCTTTGAAGAGCAGGAGGGCGTTCTTCTTCATCTCTTGGATGTGTTTGGGGGGATCGATGGGCACGGGGGGCCCTGGAGTCTCCAGGTCATCATAAGGCCCGGGGGAGCCCGCGTCGGCCCCCGAGGAGATCCCGGTATCATAGCTGTCGTCCCACTCCAGCTCCGTGTGGCTCTTGTCCTTCCTCGGGGCCAGCTGAGGTCCTGTCTGCCTGGGGAGGGGTGGCGGGAGCCCGAGCCCAGGGGCAGCCGAGCCCACGGTGTTGTCCTCGGCCAGGCTCTGCAGGAACGTGTCGGGGTCGGGGGAGTCCCCATCATACAGGGCGGACCAGACGCGGCAGTCTCTCATGCAGCGCAGGATGTTGGTGTGGGCCTCCCAGAGGTACTGCAGGTAGCTGATGTCCAGGGCCTTCCCGTACTCCACGATGCAGGCCGATGGCGAGGCGGCCTCGGGCTGCAGCGGATCTGTGGGCCCTGCGGGAGGAAGACAGGTCAGATCACAGGGCCGGGTGGTGAGAGCCCACGCCAGGGCTATGCCTCCTGGCTCCCTGAGGTCTCCCAGCTTCCGACTAAATACTCTGAGTAACCCACAGTGGTTACAGGCTAAGAAGCAATGAGAGTGGGGGCAGCAGATGCTGTAGCAGTTAACATCCACTGGACTCCCGCATGGCCGACCGCGGTTCGAGTCCCAGGCCTGGTGGCTTGAAACTCACGCCAGGTGCATGTGCATGTGTGCCCAAGATCCCGGGAGGAGAATGGAGGAAAAGGGATTGAGGCATGGCCACCACCCTAGGGGGTGATTTCTCAATTTCCATCTCACTATCTCTGTCTCTCTCTCTCTGGTAGGCACACACACACCCTAAGGCAAAAAGCCTCTACAAAAATAATAATAATAATAATAATAATAATAATAATAGAAGAAGCAACGATAGTAACAGAAACCCACCCTGGCAAGAGGCGTAAAACCAACATGCCAGCCAGGTACTGGCGGGGTCAAGTGGAAACTTACTCATCAATCATTAGAGAAGTGAGCTGCTTACACCGCGAGTTTCCACAGGCCGGGGAAGGACTAAGTGAGGTATACAAGGACCCCACCTCGTCATTGATAAGAGAGACGGCACTCGCTGGGGCCAGCAGGTAGCATGGTGGTTACGACACTGGATCCCACATGGCTCACCGTGCAGTTCAAGTCCTGGGTCCAGTGGCTTGAAAAGCATGTCGGGCATGTGTGTGTGCGTGCTCAAAATCCCGAGGAGAACGGACGAGAAGGGACTGCAGCGTGGCCGTCCCCTCGCAGGGGGGAAGCACTTTCTCACCTTCCTCTCTCTGTCTCTCTCTTTGGTGCACACCCTATAGCAAAACCCTAAAAAACTGAACTAAAATAAAAGAAGTGGACCTGCCACTTCATCCCGTGTGCCCAGAGGCACACACGCATCCCAAGGAGAGGTGGGGTGGGCACCCTTCTGAGTCACGGTCATCGCCAAATCCCACCTGAGCCTTCGTGGGAGCACTTGGACCAGAGGATGTGGTCCCGCTCCTGGCTCCCCAGCGTCAGCGTGATCCCGCTGGAGCAGCAGACGGGCGTCAGGGCGAGCAGCTTGGCCGCGGACACCGAGTAGCAGTCCCGCTCCTTCACAGCCCACCTCTGGCTCAGCATCATGTGGTTGCAGGGGATCAGGTACCTAGGATGACAGGGGGACAGTCAGTGGGCCGTCCTCGAACCACGGCCGGGGACAGACGCGCCCGCTTTCACTCCCAACTACCCACACGCTGGCCTGAAACGCGCCGAGGGCTTCTCGCCGATAGCGCGCGCTCTCTGCAGGACACTCGGGGCCTCTGCAATGCAGCCTCCATGAATGCCCTGGTCTCCTAGACGCCCCTCGTCACCTGTGCGTCTTTGCACCCCCTAGCCTTGGCCCCTCGTCGCCTGTGCGTCTTTGCACCCCCTAACCTTGGCCCCTCGTCACCTGTGCGTCTTTGCACCCCCTAACCTTGGCCCCTCGTCGCCTGTGCGTCTTTGCACCCCATAACCTCGGCTGGGGTGTGTGTTCCCCTTTCTCCACCTGGCAGAGGCCAACACATCTCTGGGAAGCTCGGTCACTTCCTGTCACCTCGCTTCGGTGGCTGCCTCCTCAGTCTCAGGGGGCCCCGGGCAGTTTGGTCTCAGAACACCAGCAACTCTGGGCACTGAACGGCCAGCAGCAAACCACCATCAAGTTTACATCTCTTACACTGGGACCAGTTGATGGCGGAATGCTTACATTGCTGGACTCTCACATGGGCGACTGTGGTTTGAGTCCCGGACCCAGAGCCTTGCAACGCATACAGGGTGCATGTGCGTGCATGCCCAAAATCCCAGGAGGAGAATAGAAAAGGGATTGTAGCATGGCCATCTCTGAGGGGTGATTTCTCGCTTTCTGTTTCTCTGTCTCTCTCTGTCTCTCCAGCAAGCACACATGCCCTATAGCAAAAATCTCTCTTAAAAACAAAAAAAAAAAAACAAAAAAAACTTTACATCCCCATGGTGACCACGAGAAGGCCTGGTGGCCAGGACCTCGTGGAGGAGCACTGGGCGCTGTCGCACAGCTCTTCCAGCTGAGGAGCGAGCACCCTAACAACCTGCAGCACGGCAGTGGGCTTCATGGGAGCATAAAGCGTGCTAAGTGGGGGACAATCACAAACGAAGATGCAGCATGGGGCCAGCAGGTGGCATGGTGAGTAAGGTGCTGGGCTCCCACACAGCCACCCATGGTTCAAGCCCTGGATCCGGCAACTCAAAAATCACATAGGGCATGTGTGTGTGTGTGCCCAAAATCCCGAGAGGAGAATGGAGGAGAAGGGATTGTGACATGCCTATCCACCCGGGGGGTGGGGGGTGGCGATCTTTCACTTTCCCTCTCTGTGTCTCTCTCCAGAAAGCACACACACGCTGTAGCAGAAACCAGGCAAAAAAAAAAAAAAAAAGATGCAGCAAATGGAAAGAAGGACTCGAAGCCAGGCCAAGCATCCCCCGTGCAGTGTCTGGGTCGTCCCAGAGAGCTGGCCCTCTGTGAACAACCGCAGCTTTCAACCCCGGGCGTGTTTCCCCTTCCTTCCAGAAGACAGCAGCGCAGAGGGGAGCATGCGACGACATAGGTGTCCCCGACGACATAGGTGTGCATGAAGCAGGAAGACACTTCGGGCCCCGTCTTGAGGCCTGAACACTTTCAGCTCCCCCTCCCCTCCTTCTGTTGATCCCAATGAGAAATGCCAGAGCTTGCAGTAATAAATGACCCTCCGCGAGGGCCCAAGTCGAGGACGAAAACAAAGACTTCGTTTTCTTTTTTCTTTTCTTCTTCTTCTTTTTTTTTAGAGGTTTTTGCTATAGGGTGCGTGTGCTCACCAGACAGACAGAGACAGAGAGATAG